CCCAAAGGCCAGCAGGGTGGGTTCTTTTTTTTTTTTAATATATTTTTATTGATGTCAGAGAGGAAGGGAGAGGGAGAGAGAGCTGCAAACATCAATGATGAGAGAGAATCATTGATTGGCTGCCTCCTGCACGCCCCAGCCCTCAACCTGGGCACCTGCCCTTGACTGGAATCAACCCCGGGACCCTTCAGTCTGCAGGCCAACGCTCTATCCACTGAACCAAACCAGCAATAGTGCATGTTCTTGAACTCAGGTGTTTTTCTCTTTTTTGCAGCTTTTTTGTGTTTTATAATCATGAATATGCCATGTGAGTGCAATGCAAAGCATTTATATGTAGTAGTAACAATACATAGTCTTCATATGTAGTAATAATTGAAGATTATTGAAGGAACTGAGAAGTACAAGTTGGTATAATGCTAAAATAGTCTTTAAATTTTTTTTAATTTTTACTTTACAGTTTACTTTCAATCTTATTTTGTATTGGTTTCAGGTATACAACATAGCAGTTAGGCAATCATATACTTTACAAAGCATTCCCCTGATATTTTCAGTACCCACCTGGCACCATACATAGTTATTGCAATATTATTGACTATGTTCCCTGTGTTGTACTTTATATTCCCTTGACTATTTTGTAACTATCAACTTGAACTTCTCAGTCCCTTGGCTTTTTTCACTCAGTCCCCCAACCCTACTTCCCTCTGGCAATTACCAGTCGACTCTCTGTGTCGGAGTCTGTGTCAGTTTTGTTTGTTCTTCAGATTCCTAAAATTATCCTTATTTTTTAATTCTTTTGTCAGACTCTGCTTCTAGAAGGACAAGTGTTTCGAGGACTTGCGTCTACAGCTTCTCTCTCTGCAGAATCAGGAAAGCGTGACAAGGGCCTGCCACCAAGTTCCAAGAAACAAAGTCCACCAAAAAGTAAGATTTTAATGGTGGTCATGGGGGGAAAGAATGCATATAAATCAGTCAGCTTTCCAGGAATAAAAAAGGGTTTTACTGGCTACATAATTTATGATTGTTCATTTTCAGCAGCATTCACTTTATAATCAGACATAAGATCTGTAACAGGTTTTAGACCAAACACATCAGTAATGTAACAGTCTTTTACTCAACATTTAGCCCTGAACTGGTTCTTTCTGTATTTACTAAATGATGTGTAGCAACAGGATGCAGAGTATAAAGGCTCTGGGTATTCAGGTGGCCCTAATACAGACCCAATATCGCATGAGGCAGCCATAAACCCCACTTTACTTTTCTTTCCCTGATTGTGACTTTTTTCAATGTTTTGAGACTCATCTGTAGTCTCCCAAGCTTTGCTCAGCCACAGTCCAGGACTGCAGGCATCAGCATTTTGTGACTGTGAAGAGAGTTAACAGCAGGCACCATTTTTAATTATATGACTCACTTTGATGGAGTATGATGTCTGCTTTGTTTCCAGCTCTTTCTGCAGTCATTTTGACTTTGAGCACCAGTTTTTACTTTTCCCCTAAATACCAATTCAGCAAATCCTCATTGAAGGAAAAGAGGAAATGGAACAGGATGTTTTAAATACTTCTGGGAATTTTATGTTCTACTAGAGGCCTGGTGCACGAAATTCATGCACGGGTCAGGTCCCTAGGCCTGGACGAAGATCAGGGCTGATCGGGACCTTCCTTGCCCAGCTACTGGCTGCCAGGCGGCTGGGCCCTTCCTTCCACAAACTCCTGAGGGGACAATTTGCATATTAGCC